ATTGGGATAGTCTAGAAGGCATGGGACAGATAATATTCGATGAGAAAAGAAGTTTTAGACCTTTGTGAAGCTTTTAGGATAGTTGATTTTGAGTTTGGAGGATGTTGGATCTAAAGTTATGAAGTGTCCTAGTTTTGTTTAATAAAAGTGCGACCTTTTGGTGGTGTAAAAGGCTTGGAAATCATGGCGATCAAGTGCTTAGGATTATGGCATCAATTTAGAAACAAAAGAGAAAAGTGTGGCTAAGGGAAATCAAAGGTTAAATAATCTTGTGTTTTGTCTTCTTAGGCCATAGAAGGCCAATGGAGGTCTGACATTGCATAGTGATGCTCTTGAGATTCTCTAGTGCGTTTGTTAGTGCATATAAAGAGCTTGGGCAGGAGCTTTTGGCAAGGAAAGAGAACTTTCCCTTTTGAAATTTTGGGCATGTGAGCTCTAATGGTGATGGTGGCATGAATGAAGCTTGAGGCCATTGGAGATACCTTTGTCTTGGTGGTTGAACTCAGATTTGGTCTAGTCTTGGCCTTACATGAGGTGATTTAAGTGTGGTTTGACCAATGTGACACTTGGTGGCATCTTAAGTGTGCGTGTGCATACTTTTTCTTCTTGTGTTTGTTTAAGTTAAATTTAATTTTAATTTTTCTTATCAGGTTATTGTGTCATCGTTAGGTAGACTATGGTACTTATTGATTTTTGGTTATTTTTTATTCGATTCTTTTTTTTGGGTCATGGGCATTAGGTTTAGCCTTGGGTTAATTAGTGTTTGGACTAGGGTTTATTAGGGTTTTGATTTTAATTTGTTGATTTATGTTAATTTTAAAATTGGTGATTTACTTAGTTGATGATTTTAATTCCTTATGTCAACCTAACCAATTTCAAGTGATTTAGTTATTTTTTAATTTATTTCATGATTTTTAATTTTTGGTTGATTCAAATTTGATTTATAATGATGGGTTTAGATTTTGGGGGCTTTAATTTAATGATTGAAATTTAGAGTGTTGAAATTCAATTAAGGTTTAAAATTTGATAAATTTAAGTGTCTTTGATTTTAGTTTTTTTTAATGATAATTGGCTTAATTGTTGATTTAATTTTCTTATGCCTTTTTTTTTGCATTTGTTGATTTAGTTTAAAGTTGGTTTAATTTTGATTTTATTTAAATTTATCGGTTCATTTGGTCTTTGGATTCATAGAATTTTAACTTTAAATTTTTAATGATGGTTGAATTTTAACTTTGAATTGGGTGTATTTAACTTTAAGTATAAGTTTTTCTTTGTTGGTGATTTTAGGAATTTTGATGAGTTTTTAATTTCCATTTCTGTCACACTAATCTTTTTTCTTTGGATTAATTTTCGTAATTTTAATTTCCTTTTGAAGTTTGTCGGCACTATTTTTGG